ACTTGCGTCAGCAGCAATGGCGCCGTGTTGAGCATCCAAATCGCCGTGACGCTCCGTAGCAGGATAAAACTGCGCCCGGCCCAGACGTGGCCCACGACCCGGTTCAGCTCAAAGAGGTTGTTGGCTTCCATGCCGACGCCGCGCGTACCGAGGATGTAGACAGCCAGGATGCACGTGACACCAATGAGAATCGAAGTAATGTACACCGTCGAGCCAAGCACCACGAGCGAAGCACTTGTGGGAATCTCGTATGGGTCTGGGGTCAGCGCCAAGGCGGGGTACGCGGTCGCGATCGTCGTAATACTCCCAGTGTCACCTTGAAAGGAGACGACTTCGCGGCCGCCATTCAACCACTCGAAGAGGAAAAGCCAGCCGTAAAAGGTCCAGAGACGCTCGCTGGGCTCGAGGAGGTTGATCTGATACAACTGCGTGTCGACATCCGTTGTATGAGAATAGTATTGGATCATTTGAATGTCAAGAGCCATAAGATCCACAATGCTGGCTTGAAAGAGCAGTGTCAGAGAGGAGAAGGAGTCGTTCATGTGCTGCTCCAAGAAGGCGACGAGCGTGTTGAGCGTCGGCGCGCAGGTCGCCCCCGCACACGCGTCCAAGCGACACAAGGCGCTTGCGTCTGCGCTGACCATCGGGCCGTGGGATGTATTAAAAGCAAGAAGAGCAAAGAAGAGCTCTGCTGTCGAAGGCAGCAGCGTCTCGAGGAAGAGAGCATGGCACGCATTCGCCTCGCCAAAGCTGTTGAGAAGACCGTAGCTCGCAGGTTCCAGAGGGACGTCGTTGCCGCACATAAAACCGCCACCACTTAATTTGCGTCAGCGGATTGATGAGCAAGGCGGGTGGCACCGCGCAGACGCGGGACCTTGCTGGCACCGACAGAACAGTAGCCTGTGCGACATGGTCCAACGCCATGAGCGTGTTGAAGCTGGCGAGGAATGCAGCATAGACAGCAACGGCCGATGCAGGAGGTGCCACGTAGTGCATATCAACTGCACCAAACGGCCCGATCGTCGCCTGTAGCACGATCAAACCAGGTGTCAATGGCTGGGGAAGGGTTAGGTTTTGGAACAAGACGTCTTGACTCGAGGCATTCGTAAACGCAAAGCGAGGACTCGATGCGAGGAGACTGTAGCCTCCAATCAATGACGTGTTGGTAGCAATGGCCCAGAGATCGCTCGCGAACGCCCAGTACATTCGGTGGGATGTCTGCTGCAGAAGATGAAAGCTGGCATCCGACCGACTCAGCGTCAGCGACGACGTGTAGCCTAGCGCAGATGTGATTGAGAAGGTGTCGACCATGCCAATCGTCTTCTAGTTTTGCCACTGCAGCTGGAATCGAGTTAAGTTGTAGCGACGCCAGAGAGCCACTTCGTCATTGACCGAATTGGTGTTGAGTTTGAGATTCGTGAGCCACTGCTGACCACGTTGCGAGGT